AAAAAAAAAAAAAAAAGACAGAAAAATGTTTTAAAAAAAAAAGCAACACCCACACCTGTGTCTGTATATAGCCTTTTAGACTGTCAGCTTTTGTTGTGTTCAGTCGTTTGAACTCTGCAGAGAAGTGAAAATGCTGTATCGCGGGTGGGCTTAGCTGTGCCTTTCAAATAAAGATGTGAGAAGGTTGGTTGCTGTGTTCCTGCCTCTGTGTTGCGGGCTGCCTGTGGTTCCCCCCTTCCCAGAGAGGAGAGGACTTCTTTCTTTCATGTCTGGGCTCCCTCCTCTGTTACAGGACTAAATATTCAGAGTCCTAGGTGAGTCCATCTTATAAGTGCACTTCCTAACTTGACGCATAGACCAGAGAGGGTCAGCTGGAGGCTACAGGTCACACAGCTTGCCCAGGTGCTGGAGGTTTAGCAGAGCTGATTTCTGAGCAGCAGGCCAGAAGGCCCCTAAGTGAGATTCTTTTCCCTTAGAGACAGAAGATATTGAGATTGCCCCCACTGTGCAGAGGCACACATGGACCCTTTTCCCAGATCAGAGAATGCAGACCCCAGCTGAACCTCGACCCTCCAAGGAACAGTTGAAAGCCCTCCCCTGCCCCGAGAGCTAAAAGGAAAGCAGATTTCCTGATGTGGGCCTAGGTGGGCATGGGGGTAGGGAGGGTGGGCAGCCATTCTGACTTCAAAAGATCTTTACAAGGGCTATATGACACAGAAACCCCACCCTCAGGGAGCTGGAGCACCCAGGGGACTTTTTGTAGTGCAAGAAATTCTCATCTGTCTCCCTAACCCAGTGGATTCCCAAGGGAAGGGGTGGGGTGAAGAGCACAGAGAGGGCAGAAGGGAGGGATGGGTGGTGATGGCCCACTGGGAAAATGAAAGAGGAGACTGAGGGGAGAGGAGACTGGGTAGTCACACCAGCCTTCTGCTGGGTCCTGCCTCTCCACTATAGCCAAAGCACCTCTAAAAAAACACCGTGTGATAGGGTAACTCACTGCTTAAAATTTATCCTTGTTGAAAACCTGAACTCACCCCACTAGGGGAGTATAAATTGTTACATCTATTTTGGAAGGCTGTTTGGCATCCAGCAATGCCCCTTTTGGATCCATCCTCCAACAGACATGCCACTTGAGCCTGCCCCAAGACCAGTGTTCAGAACCCCAGAATTAGTCATTATTACCCCAAACTGGAAACTACCAGATGCTCAGTAACAACATATAACTTGTGACAGTTATGTTGTGGAATATTACACAGCCATGGAAAAGGTACTACTACTACTACACTCAACACCATGCAGCTCTCATACAGAATGCTGAACAAAAGAAGCTGGGTACAAGAGTAAATATGGTGTGATTCCATCTATATAAAGAAGAAAACCAGGTGCAAGTGACTTCATCTGGTTACCCTTGGGAGGAGGTAAAGGTGAAGGGGATTTCTAACCGCGCTGATCATGTTTTGTTTAACTTGGGAGCTGATTACCTCAGTGTGTTCACTTCAAGATAATTCATCGAATTGTTCACTTACAATTTGTGCTCTCTTTTGTGTGTTATATTTCCCAATTTAAAACAATTATTTTAAAAAATGGATTATCTTTGCCCTCAAAATACATTCTAAATTCACCTAGGCCCACCAGAGCCTGCAGACCCTGCAATCAGTCCTCAGCAAACTGTGGCCAGGTTGAAACATCTTGCTGTTCCTTGTCTAGAGGCCTTTGCACATGCTGTTCCCTTTGCCTGGAAAAAATGTTCTCTTTTTCCCTGCTCCACAGCCATCTAATCCTCCAAGACTCCCAGAAGTTACTTTTCTGAAGGCCTCCTCCTGACCTTCCCCAAAAGTAGAGTGACCCCTCCTTAGAAAGTGCTTAGTGCAGAGCAGGGCCAGCCACCCATTCATTTAGAGATCCAACTATGAGCCCCAGAGACACAGCAGGGGAACAAAACTGACACAAATCCTTGCCCTCCTGGGTAGGATAAACAAATAAGGAAAATACAAAATGTATCAAGAGGCTTGTTGATAGAGAACAAAGCCGAAAATGGGATGAGGACTGCCAGTTGCTTTTTTTTTTTGGAAATTTGCACATAGAAGCAACTCAATACTTGTTAGCAAATGTATTGAGGGCAGACCTGGGTTTGTACCCGCCTCCTATCCTAAGTAGTGATTTGAGGCATGAAGTCACTTGTCTGATCGCAGTTTCTGGGAAACTGTTGGGAGAATTAGCAGAAAGCTTGCTAGGGCTCACTAGCTGTCTGATATTATCATCACTGACGTTGCGGGCTGATGAACGGCGCGGGGGGCGGGGGGTCCACAAACGCGACAGCCCCTACCCAAGGGTCTTCTCCGAGGAAAGTGGGGTTCTGCTCAGCTAAGGGCGGGTCTCTAACCTCGGGCCTCCCTCTGGACCTCGGCGCCCCCCATCACCCCATCCCGCCTGCGGGGCGGGTCCCCCGTGGGCTTAGAGGGGGTCCCGGGGCCCGCTGAGGCGGGAGTGGGTGAGAGCGCGATCTCGCCCGGGAAGCCGGGCGAAAGGAGGTGCCATCTCCGGAGCTTCCTCCCCGCCGAGGCCTCCCGCGCTTAACGACGCGCCGCCGGCGACCTCGGCTAATTGATCCGCTAATGGGCCCCGCGCCGCGGCAGCGCCTAATGAGGCGGGAGAAAGGGGAGGAGGGGGCGGTAGGAAAG